AGCCTGCCCTGGAGGGGACGGGGGACAGGGGGACAGGGACGGGTCCCTTTGCGTGTCACCTGGCCGAAGTTCCAGGGGATGGCAGTGATGTAGTCCCGGGAACCCTGGTAGATGAGGCCCTGCTGTGACAGCACGTACTCGCTGCGCTCGTCCTCATCCCGGAGGAAGACCGTGTCCTCTGCGGGGACGGGGACGAGGATAGGAAGGAGGGTGAACGTGGGATGGGGATGGGATAGGGAAGCTGCCCCACACAACCCCCCCCAGTTGCCACGTCCCCTCCAGCGCTGCCCCTGCTCCAGATCTCCCCTCCCAGCGCCACCTCCCTGGGCTGGGGACGTGCCAGGAAACCGCAGCAATTCCAAGAATAAAATCTGATGGGAAATGAAGCAAGAGGAGCAAAGGGCCAGGATTGCTCCCCTCTGGAAAAGCTGCTGAAGGATTTCAGCTGAGCTGGGCTGAACCAATGTGACCCTTGCCGAGAGCTTTTGTTTCTGCTTTCCTTTTATTATTGTTTCCCCCCCCCTTATTTCCCTTCTGCTCCACGGAGCTGGGTTTTCCCAGGAGTGGAAACCTCTCTGGGAAACATCGAGAAAGGCTGAGCACCGGGAGCTGACTGGGAAAGCCATTAAAGCCCTGTTGCTCACACAGAGGTTACGGCGAGAAATAACAGCATTTACTGGAAATCGTTTGGCAAAGAAAGTGCCTGTGTGCAGATATATGTACATATATGTGTGTGCAAGAGCAGGCGGCTGAGCGCCGCTTCCTCCAGCCCTTATCTCTGTGCCGGCGGCACCGCGCGCTCCGCTCGCTGCCAGGAAATTCCTGCTTTGAGCAACCACGTCCGCCCGGGCCGAGCGCGGGGCCGAGCGCGGGGGGCAGCAGGCGCAGGGTGGGCAGTGCAGCCCCATGGGTGGGTGGGCAGAGACCCTCTCACCTGGGTGCCAGGGGTTGAAGAGCAGCACGAATTCGCCCTTATCTCTGTGCCGGCGGCACCGCGCGCTCCGCTCGCTGCCAGGAAATTCCTGCTTTGAGCAACCACGTCCGCCCGGGCCGAGCGCGGGGCCGAGCGCGGGGGGCAGCAGGCGCAGGGTGGGCAGTGCAGCCCCATGGGTGGGTGGGCAGAGACCCTCTCACCTGGGTGCCAGGGGTTGAAGAGCAGCACGAATTCGCCCAGGCTGAAGCTGGAGCCCGGGTAGTCGGTGGCAGCCTCGAGCGTGAGGCTGTAGCGGCCGAGGCGGGCGGAGGGCGGCGAGCAGAGCGAGAGCGAGAGCGAGGCGCCGTCCTGCTCCTGCACCACCGCGCTCCAGCTCGACTCCTCGGGGCAGTCGCTCACGGAGAAGTGGCACTTGGTGCCCGAGCTCTCTGCAGGGCAGGGCCCTGCGGGGTGTGGGGCTGTCAGCGCCCACGGCTGCCCCA